GCCGAGCCAAGAAATTGCTTTGTAAATTCTAATATTGCCAACCCCAGGCATTCAAAAAATGCATCAAACTCAAAAATATAATCAAATTGGCTTGAGAAAATTAGTTTCTAAAAGGAATGCATTCAGCTTTTTTTTTCCCTTTGCCATCTGTTTTTGTGCTGGTTGTACATCTTTTCAAGCTTTTCTTTACAATCTTGAGGACTACCAATTTTGAGGGGTATGTACAGTAATATTGGCTTGCAAGGAAATGAAAGTAAGTTTTGCACATAATATCATGGCTCCAGAAACTTGAACTTTAAGAAAAATCATAAATACTATGAAATTTCTGTAAAAATCATGGCAGTAGACAGCAATGAGACATAAAAGTTTGAATCTGTGTAAATTTAGCAGAAGTTTGTAATTTATTTCCTCATTATTCTTGAGTGAAAATTTGCCATTTAATTCCAAGGAAACAGGATTAGCTCAGGTTTTATTAGCATAATCTCTTTGGTACATATTAATGTTGTACTATCAGATCACAAAGCTTGGTAGTAGATGTAACTAGTATTTTGTCTTTGGAATAAGATCAAGACTGTTGCCTTTGATACAATATAAACCGTGAATACAGACTTCCACCAAGCAAATACTCAGAATTACTGTGCTGTCCTCTGAAGCAGAGTTAAATGGCTGTATTTAGAATGAGTAGGTGTCAGATAAACATTAATGAGATTTTGAATGTCTCTTTGAAATGCTTTGCAAAATTCATTATCCAAATAGTGGAATTCTGATTAAAATTACTTTTAAAAATCAATCTAAAAATGTTAGATTTTGCAGGTGCGTTGCAAACAATAAGAATTTGTTGATGTTTTAAAATAATATTGAGTCAGCCTGAAATAAAATAATGTCAGAGAAGAGCATTGACCGTGGAACCTGTGGACATGACACTGCACTGTAGAGTGGTAAGATTATGATCCTGTCCTTTTAATGTCACTGAGTGACATTACTTAAATAATTAAAATTATTTTTGCCTTTAGGGTCTGTTGTACTGAACATCTCCAATCTGTACTTGTATCACTAACAGGTTTGTGTTACTGCTGAAAATAAATAAAGAACCTTTGCTTCACTTCCCTTTTCTATATTTGTCTTACGGTTCACAAAACTTCTTCCAACTGGGGCTCAGTTACTTTCAACTCCACATGTGAGCTTTGTGGTTTCATCAGTTTCCATTCATTTCAAGGGGCACCTCTTTATATTCATCACCACAACTAACTCTAAACTGTTTTATACATATTCTTTGGGATGGCCTATTTTTTTTTCTTGACCCTTTTACCCCTCTAGCTACAGAAAATAGAATGGATTATATTTTTCTAAAGTCTTCTATTTGCATTATCTTGGAATTTTCTTTGATTTTACATTGAATTTTTAGATAATTTAATTGACTCTTTTTAGGTTTTCTTTTTATTCCAGTTATTCTAAAGTGGTGCTTTCCGTTACTTTAAAATCTGTAATTATCCTTAGACCCAACATAGCAAGTGATTATTTATGGCCATTCATGTAATTAAATTTAGTGGCTTCTTTTTCATTTCAGTCAGTTGAATTTGCTTTGATTCACAATATTTTATTTTTCATGAAAGGTTGCATGAACAATTTCTACATTTCTGAGGATATTTGCAGAAGTCTAGGCTCTTACAAATATTTGTATGTATGTTATGGTTCTATAAACTGTTGCTGACTGGAGTAAAGCTGACTTGAGATTCTAACCCAAAAGACTTTTTCAGTACTTGAGTGAAGACAGTTTATATATTGTTTTATATATATAGTTGCTATTGTGTATAGTTAATCAGTGTGTAAAGTGCCAAAAATATATAAATTCCAGATTATTTTTTCTTGTACTATAAAGTGATCCAGTATACTGGACTGTATAAGAAACCCAAAGTTGCTATAATTTGGTTTCCAAATTTATTTTCATCCCTGTTCTTTGACAGTGTTTTGTAAATATAGTCAAAGTAGAAGATTATCTAAATTTCAATGGGAATCGTGTGCTTGACTCGATTAATCCATTAATCCACAAGCTTCCTTCACTCCCTCCTCCCATGGACATGCCAGACCACACTCCTACCCCCGTGCTGTGTGGATGTGCTGCAATGAGCCATATAGTGCCCCTTCCCTCTGCTGCATAGATGAGCTGCAACACACCATGCACCGTGACTTCCTGACATGCCACGTGGACATGCCACACAACCCCCCTCCTTCATGCTGCATGGACATGAGCTACAATAAGCCATCTCCACCACCCGTCCCCCACCTATGTGTTGGGCAGCTACAGTGTGGATGTTCTGTGATGTCCCCAGCTCACCTGAGCCCTCCAGCCTTAGGCTTCCTCACCCTGTGAGCCAGGCCTCTCTGCCCCACCCCCTTCACAACAGAATCTTGAGGACTGGCAGCAGAGCAAACTGGGGAGTGGTGTTTGGACCAGAAAGCCAGGGACTGCATTTTAACCCACTGGGGGCTGCATGTGGACTGGGCCACCAGTTGGACAGCCTGCTTTAGGTAACTAAGTGTATGTTTATACCAGAGGTGGGCAAAATATGGGTCAGGGGTGGGTGCAGGAAGGAGCTGCAGCTGGGCAGGAGCGTGGAGCATGGGGCTGGGGCTGGTGGCAGTGTAGCACCCATGCCCAGGGGGGCAGTGGGAACATGGAGCTTGGGTGGACAGAGTGTGGGTGTGAGGGATCCACACCCTCCCCCCATGGTGCACATAGCTCCCGTCGGCAGCAGCAGGAGCACCAGCAGGCGTCAGGTGCTTGTGCCCAGTGCAGGCACTGCCACCCAGTGGTACACGGCTCCAGCCAGTGCTGCATGTGGGTGCAAGAAGTGCAGCCCAGCCAGGCTGCCTCTATCGTGTGGCACTCCCCATGTGCAAATATAGCTCTTGCACTCATGTGGCACAGGAGGGAACTGGCTCCAGTGTGTGGAGCTTGCCTTCTCCGTCCCCTGCCTCACAGGTCCTGGGACTCCTCAGGGAAGCGGGGACCAGGGCTCCCCTCCTCTTTTGACAAAGTTCTGGGACCTGCATGGCAGACAGCGGCAAAGGCAGCTAGCTCCAGTGCGTGGAGCTTCCCTCCCATGCTGTGTGAGTGTGAGAGCTACATGTGCATGTGAGGAGCACCACACAATAGAGGTGGCCCAGCAGGGCTATGCTTCTTGCCCCCACATGTAGCACTGGTTGGAACTGTGCACCACTGGGTAGCAGCACCTGCGTCGGGCACTAGCACCTATTGCCTGCTGGTGCTCTTGCTGCCACCAATAGGGGCAGTGCATGCCATGTGTGTCCCCACACCCTGCCACAATCCCCCACACCCAATAAAAGCCTCACACACACACCTTGCACCTACAACCCCCCACATATACACCCCCCAACATACCCTATTGCCCATCACAACACCCACCCCACCACCATACACCCCACCCACCCCACATACCCACATACCCACCATACACAACCACACCCCACACACAATATACAAGACAAAGACTTAATTTTGGAGTTATTATGCAATCAGCATTGTGTTGATATTTTTTGTAATAAAATTAAAATATGTTAAAGTAGGTGTTTGACTTTTACCCTCAAGGAGTAAATGATTTGGTTTTATTTCTGGTTCCAAGATGGCAACCCTCCCATCCCAAAAAGAGTATGTCTGGGGGGCAAGGGAAGGGACTTCCAGTCCCAAAGTGGCAACCAGGGGGTATGACAACAGTCAAGGAACAGGGCTACCCATGTGGCCCTTGACAGCTCACCAAAACTCATTAAGCAGCCCTCCAGCCAAAATAATTGCCTGCAGCTGGTTATACTGTAAAAGCACAGAGCTCAGTCTCTCCACTAAGGTAGTAAATGCTTTTCCCATGGGTTAGCCCCAGAAATGAGGTTGTAATGGCACTTTGGGGGCACGCTGATCTTTTTCCCTTAAGCAAGCCAGAAACCAAGATCTTGACCATAGTGCCAGACATTCCTCTAGGCATCCTGACTGAATCATTTCTAGGGATTGATATGTGTAAAGGAGAAATAGGTGGGCAACATTTATTGACTCAACAACAAGACTGATCTCTATGCTGTCACAGTGCAGACATACCCTAAGTTCCTTATAGGAATTTAGCTCTAAAGTAAATCAATCCTCAATAAAGTAAATTAAGTGTCGGGAGACTCCCAGCCTTGGGAGACACAAGGTCTTCATGGTCCCCAAAAATGAAAAAGACTTAAAATAGGAAAGTACACATACCTAAAAACCAAAGTACACCTAGTGGGTCCAGTATTCGTTCTTTCTTTCATCACTTTAAAATATGCTTATAAAAAAGCCTTCAGAATAGTTACCTTATAGAATCTAGTTACTTTATAGAACCCCATATATTTTGACACTAGGATTGTCCACACAGTGGTTTTTCAATTTGGAAAAGAAGCAAAGAAGAGAAGCAAAGAAAAAATCCATAATATATATCTCTTTAAGGAAACAGGCAAAGGTTTAAAACATCAGATCTTGAACTGATAGCTGTATGGTATGTTAGTAAGTCAGTATACAATCAGGATATATTTCAACTAGTATAGCAGCTAGATATTGTATTCTGTACTTGTATGTATATTCAACAATGTAAAAATATGCACCTTTAATAGGAAACTACAGCTACATACAATGTTTAAAATAAAATCGCACTATCAACTGTATTAAAAATACAGCAGAAATACAAAGAAAAACAATATAGAACTATGAACGTTGCCATAAAACTATATGTATTTATAAAGTTGTACCTATAAAACTGGAAGAATATTAAAAAGGATGATTCACTTTTTAACATTTATGTTGTGTTTATCCTTTATATTACATTTCACTCAGGTAGGACACTGAAACAAACCTGGTTAGTTTTAGTCAATTTCCTTTTTTGACTTCCAAACACTACGACTAATGTTTCACTGTTTAGGTAGTACTGCATATTAAACTAAAAACATGCTGCTTGCATTATATATTACAGAAGAACAGATCTCTACAACAGGGAAAACCCAGAAGGGACTGACTGATCCATTTCCACCCTTTCAAAGACGACGACCCACTCGTTTTCTTAAAATTGGAGCTCCTTTCTACCAGGACAATCAACTTCAGGTCAAAGTCTACTGGAAGAAGACAGGTTTGTTGAAAGTTCTCTGTTTAAATAGGGGCCAACCATATACTCACCCAGTATGAATATATTTATAATGAAGCCCATCTAGCAGTTCTTATAAAAGACCAAATCCTACTCTTTCCTTCTGCAAATCTTAGAGGGAAACTAGCTGGGATGATGATACATACATTTAGAGAATTTAAATTCCCAGTATGGTAAAGATCACTGACCTGTGGAGGTATGTAAAGCTGACTTGAGGGTAGGGATAGGAGTGTCAAACTCATCTGACCCTCCGGCTGGATGAAAGTTATTTGGCGAGTCTGTGGGCCAGATCGGGACCAAACCCCCTGCAGTGTGAGCATGGGTCCAGCCTTTGCACCACATGCTGTATGTGCTGGCCTTGGGGTTTGCTCTTTGCTTGGTGCGTGGGCTAGACCCCACACTCCATGAACCCCAAAGGGATGGTCACTGCATGCAATGCATGCAGCATCAGGGCTAGCCAGGCCTGCACACTGGCTTCAGGGCCTGTCTGTGTTGGGCCTCAGGATGTCCGTGTGTGCCGGAGACTGTGTATTGGGCTGCTCCCGTGGAGTGCCACATACAGCCCATGTCCTGTGTGCTGCACAGAGTGCTGAGTTTAGCCCATGTGCTGCATGTAGAATGAGTCCCAAGGCTGGCTCATGCTGCATGTGGAATGGAGGACTCAACTGCCTGCATAAACTGCACACAGCACAGGGGGCAAGCATGGGGTGTCTGCTGCATGTGATACCCTACCGGTCCAGCCCTGCATGCTGGCTCCACCATGGCTCAATCCAGATTGGCCTGGAGCCAACACACAAAGCTGATTCAGTGCAGGCGCCACATGCAGCATATGCACTATGAATCTATGCCGTGGACCAACCGCTAGGTTCCATGGAGTTTGTGCAACTCCAGGTCTATCAGCACACAGGGTTGGGGCTGGCATGTGGCACATGGGGTCAGTCCAGAGATCTGCAGTCTGGATCATTACAGCTCCATGGTCAGGATCCAGCCTGCAGTACATATATTCGACACCTCTGGCTTTGGATATGACCTAGAAAGGAGAAACATAGGAGGAAGAAAAAAGTGATGCTTTGGATCCAAAAGACAAGAGTCTGCAGGAAGTGACAACTAGGGAACTAAAATAGCAGGTGCAAATTACCTGCATTTTCCACTCTTAGGGAGAAGAATTCACAATCCTGAGAAACTTCCTCCATAAGGTTTTATGCAGGGGATTAGAATCTGTCTTGCAAAAGTTGCATGAAAATCAATTAGGTTGTTGGACATTGTTAGGAAACAAGTAGGTTGTTGGACATTGTTTCAGTTTTATAATCAGTGACCTCACAGACTATTATTTGAAATTATGCTAACACTGTTAGTGATTTTTTGCCTCCTAGAAATCTATACATGTTTCTTAAGTTAAGGGGTGTAGGTTGCAGCTGTGTTGGTTTAAGGACATTTAATTTTCATTCCATACAGAAAGAGCACACACCAACTGCTGAAACTTCCTTAGCCTGACAAAGGGTTTTTGACCCCAAAAGCTTGTTTAAAAATTGTTTTCCAACTAATTAAGTTGGTCTAATAAAAGATATCAGATTCACCCAAAGAACCTTGTATTTCTTAAGTTAATGTGTACATAACATACAGTAAAATATCAAGTTTGAAACCATACTCTGCAAAAGGAATATATTTTTTTTCCTTTAGACTCTTGCAACTAATTTTAGGAACAAAAATATTCTTCTGGCCACTCTTGGATATCCATTTTTCTAGCTTCCCACATGTGTGGTTTCTTCAGATCTTGATTCTTATCCAGGCCTAGCTTATCCCCTTTATGCACTTATTTAATATTCATCTTGATACATTAGCTGTCTTCTTTTTGGACACTCAATATCCCCCACATATCCATTCACATTCATTCAAAGTGCTACTATTAAGGTGAAAGCTGGTAATTATTTTTTGGGGTGTGGAGGGGTGGATAATACAATTTACCAAAAAATTAGGTTTCATTCTTGTAGAAACTATTTGTGAATTTTGGTTGAATTCGCTGGTAACTAACTGGAAAAAGGATTTTGGGAACATAAAGAGAGAGATGGGGCTCAGGAGTTAGAACATCTCCCTCCCTATGCCTCCTCCCCAAGATGGAGGAAATCCAGCGTTCCCTGTCTTTAGGGGTTGAAGTGACATATCTCACCTTCACAGAGAACGCCCTAATCACTTGGCTGGAGAGTTATTCGCAATTTGTTTAAATTCTTATTTAAGTATTTCACAAAGAGTGGACCACCCAAAAAATGAGGCGTTCAGAAAGACGCATTGAAGAATAGCCTCCACCCCTACAACCCTAAGCCAGCCCCAGAGCTCTCTCTGGTACTTGAAGACGACCCTATGGTAAACCAGTAGAAGAAAAGAAAGGCTTCACTTTTCCTCCACATCCCTCAAACTTCAGATCCGTGTGCAGGGCAGGTGTGGGCTGCAAGCTTGGGCTCCCGCCCTGCTGCCCTCATCTGGGGCCCTCCACAGCCTGGAGGGTGTGACCTAGTGTGGCAGGAAGCAACAGGGCCATACAGAGAGGCTGCTTGCTGCTGCTTGCTCCACACTGCCCTGGTGATGTGCGTCCTGCATGCGCGGCTGCTTTGAGGGGCGCAAACCCACACCACTGCCGTCACTGCAGCTGTACATGCAGGAGGTGCGTCCGCAGGGCAATGCAGAGCTCACAGTGGTGAGCAGCTTCTCCATGTGGCCCCACTGTTCCCTGCCACACTGGGTCATGCCCACTGAGCTGTGGAGGCCCCAGGAGAGGGCAGCAGGGCAAGAGCCTACACCCACAGCCTGTGCCTGCCCTGTGCACAGATTGGGGGAGTGCGGGTCCCACCTGCCTCCCTAGAGAGAGCATGCCATGGTGGGGAGCCAGCCCAATGCCCCTGGCCCCTGGCCAAGTCACCCAGGGCCCCATCCCACTCCCTGTTGGGGCCCAGCAGCCATGCATTGCAGCCACAAGCCCCATGCACTGCCCAGCTGGGCAGCAGTCCCAGCCCCAGCCCGGCCCAGTTCCCTCCCTCCTTATGGGGGCCTCAATTCCCCCCTTTCCCCCCACATACTTACCTGCAGGGGCTGTTCTCCAGGCTGCCTGGGGCCACGTGCATGTACACGCCCTGTTTCACTGCCCTTCTCCCACTCCCTCCCAGCTCCCTTCAGGCTGGAAATCTGCTAGCCTGCAGGGAGCTCATTGAAAAATCCATGGGTTTCTCTGGTAAAATAAGAAATCCAGGTTTGCCGCCAGCAAAAGTTCAAATCCGCTGTGTACACCATTTTTCCATGGGAAACGGAAAACCCAGATCCTCGGTCATGACTTGTGCTACATGAATGTGCCACAGGTTCAAAAGAAGAATTACTTCTCCAGGCTTGTTTTTTACATGTCCCATTTCATATGTTACATTAATTTCAGTGAACCTTGGGCATGTAAAGAATGTGTAGAATCTGGCCTTTATGTATTCAAAGAAATCCTTTAAAAAAAATATTCCTGCTCAATGCCTTTTTTTATGATAGCAATAATACATGCACTTAAAGATGTGTGGTAAAGGGAATAATGCCACACCTCAAATATTACAAGGCACTTAGCAAACACACTTAATTTTACTAGAAATAATTATCACAAAAGTATATAGTAATTAGATGGATATAATGGTTTCTTGTTCAGGAGAAGAAAATGTGTCTTTCATTTGCTCCCTTTGACATAGGCCTAGGATTAGAGAAACAGTACATTCCTTAAGCTTCATGAATTCAACTTTTGTCGAGGAAAAGAAGAACTTGCTTGTGGCCAGATTTTCTGGCCATCTTGACTGTGTGAAATTAGAAATTATGTGCTATTTATGTAATGCAGTGGAACCAAATCAAACAAATCACTTTTAACTCCTTGGCGCTGGGAACAGGATAGCGTTGGAGTAAAGTCCGTTGCCAAGAATGGATGCACGATGAACCTTCAGCCTAAAAGGATTAACTGCTTGTGACAATTAAAGTCCTAAGAAATCTTGTGCAGTAATCAAGGCTGAAACTGTGATAATAAAAGGTTTCTCATGTTTCACCTACCCAACAGTGGTTTGGTGACAGGCGATCTGAGGTTTTGGACCTCAGTTTTAGAAGCCTTTAAGTACCTCCAAAGTCAAATACCCTCTGGGTTTTAGAAGATATTTCCCATGAACAAAAAGAGGGACTTTATTCTTTATACTCCTACTGCCATAATTTGCATCACTTACTGCACTAATTCTCATAAAAAGACCAACACACTGTAATTTAATGTGATAATTTCCTTCCAAATCAGAATGTCACAGTCCTATTTCCAAAACCTATGCTTTCTCCATGTTGTTAATGTTTAGTGGCTCTTATTTAGGAATAGTACAACTGTTCTTACTCAGGAAAAGCTCCAGTTCAGTCAGCGCTCTTCCCAGCCAGCATTTAGCCCATATTAAACATTTTATGGATTTCTTGGGTGTTTCCACTTAGTGTCAAGTTGTTTGCCCTTTGCTTTTGCTTCAAAAGTTAAACATTTAAAATGCATTAAGACTTGGCTTCAGAGTTGATTCTTTGCTTTAATATTTGCCAGAAATATAAAACAAAGAACACTTTAAGTGGAAAGGGACAAAAAGCCCTTCCATTTTTCTGATAAAACAACTGACCAGGAATAATCAATTAAATTAAAGAGAAAAATAAAATGTAAGACAAAGCAAACAGAAAGCTGTCAAAAAAACCTTTTGAAACTGTATTGTAGAGAAACAAAATCAACATATAGGAAGGAAGATAAATGAGGCAACTGTTTACACTGGGTTTTTTTCTTTATTTTTTGTGAAAAGTCATTTTCATGCCACAGAGTTAAAAAATAATTGAAATACTTCCCAGTATTGTCCCTAACAGGGACATGATCCAGCCCTGCACTCCTTACACATTGAAGATAATGGGACTATTCTGTGTCATTAAGGTTTGCTAGCTCTAAAGTGCTGGATAATATGATTGTTACT